CCCCAGCCCCTCAGACTCTTCTTAATTGTGACTTCTACAGATTTTTTTTTTTTTTTTTTTTAAGATCTTGCCCTGATAGTTTTGAGAAGTACTGGTCTGGCCTGAATTTTTTGTTTGTTTGTTTTGTTGTAGTGGTGATAAGGATGAAATCCAGGTCCTCATGTATTCAAAAAAAAGAGGCACATGTGGTTCCTGCCTCTGTGACCTTGCATGCTACTAGAGCTGGGTATTCTCCACTTTATAGATGAGAAAACAGATTTAGAGGGAAAGGGATTTGTCCAAGGACACAATTAACCAGGAGCAGGGCTCAGATCTGACCTCGAGCCAAATTTCTGTAGCCACAGCACCTACCCTACATCAGCTCAGGAGTCAACAGACTGCTCCTTCCTTGTTGTGGTGCCTGTGTCAATGCCTCAGGGAAAATAGCAGCAAGTTTGGGAAGGTACTTGACAGGCTGGGGCATGTCCATGTCTTTTGAATTAAAGGAGAAAAATCTATCTTAGTAATTCAGTTTTACATTTGAGTTACTCCACCCCAGGCTTTGAAAACATTATCTGATGTTAATGTAAAGAAATATAATACAAACAATAAGGTGAGTTTCATTTTCAATTCCATCACTGTTTTAAGTGATAAGAAATGCAGTTTTTCTTTTTTAGTGGTATTAGTGATACAACCTAGGAGCACACCACTGAACTATATCTCTACCCCATTTTATTTTTTTGAAACAGTGTCTATGTGGGAGACCAACCTTACACATGACTGAGTCACACTCCCCGGCTGGGTGCTGAGGTGCTCAGTCACAGAAATGTGAGTTTTCCCCACCCTTCTTGGGTTCGAGGGTCAGTGTCTCCTGCATGGGTATGTCTTGCTACAGCCCCATGGGTGAAGCTATGCTCACTATTCCTTTGTAATATAACCCCTTGCCCTGTTTAAGATAGAATCTTCCATGGAAGTGCCTTGTGTGTGTCCCCTTCTCTTACTGTGCCCTTGGGTGTGGCCTACCCAGGTGTCAGTCAACCTGCTGACAGTGGACATCATGAAGATACTCAGCCCCCTGAAGGTCTAAGTTGCCCAGGCTGCTCTCAAACCTGCAATCCTCCTGCCTCAGCCTCCATAGTAGCTGGAATTATAGATGTGCACCACTGTCTCAGCTTGATTGTTTTCTTTTTTTTTTTCTTCATTTAGAGAGAGGGTCTCACTAAGTTGGTTAGTGCCGTGCTAAGTTGCTGAGGCTGGCTTTGAACTTGTGATGGATCCTCCTGCCTCAGTCTCCCAAGTCAGGTGTGTGCAACTGCACCCAAATCAATTTTTCTTTTTTTTAAAAATTTTTTTTATTTTTTAGTTTTAGGTGGACACACTATCTTTATTTTATTTTTACGTGGTGCAGAGAATCGAACCCAGTGTCTCACGCATATTAGGTGAGTGCGCTACCACTTGAGCCACATCCCCAGCCCCTCAGTTTTTCTTTTTTAATGAAGAGAAACAGGTAACTTTGTATAAGTCAGAAATACTAATATCTCTGATCCCATCCCATGTTTTCTGCTGTCTGCTGGACCTACTCTAAGCAAAAAAGGATGCAGACTCAAACCCTATTCCAAATGCACAAAAGCAGAAGACCTGATCATGTGTGCTCTTGGAAGCACAGTATGAAGGATGTCATCCCACCGCGAGCAACACACGGCTGTGCCCTCCGACTCAGAACAGCACTAAGAGAAGTCGGGGTTGGGCTGGGGGCTCAGCAGTAGCACACTTGCCTAGATGTGTGAGGCACTGGGTTTGATTCTCAGCACCGCATATAAATAAATGAAATAAAGGTCTGTCAACAACTAAAAAATATATTTTTTTTAAAAAAAGAGAAAGTCAACATATTTACAAACAAGATTTAATGAAGCTCATAGGAACAGTTTGCCCCCAAATAGGAAAACTACCCAGTTTTGTTTCAAAAAGTCACAAATTCAGTGCTTGAAAGCCAGCAGGAAGCAGCGGCACCAAGCCTGCCCAGCAGGGACAGCCCAGGCCTTCTGCAGCAGGGCGGGTGAGGCCGCGTGTGCTAGCCACCCCCTCCACGACGCCTCAGTACCGCCTGTTCATCTTCTTGAACTTCTCATAGTGGTAGTCATCAGTGGCCTTCTCATTAGCAGGACGTTTGCGGTTAGGAGGGGACCCTGAGGAGAAGAGGAGACAGTCTGCCACACTGGAACCCACCAAGAGACCCTGCTGCTCACAGGCCAGGGCCACACCGTCTGGTTCCCTGTGGCTAGGCCAGTGCATACAGCATGGGAGGGCCTGCGGTGAGTATGTTTTATTTTTGCTGTCTGAACTTTCCCAGCTTGTCTCTCCTGTACTTGGTCATAGAGTGAATCCTTAGAATAGCCCCAAGAGGTGAGTTCTGTTACCATCCCCATCGTATAAATGAAGATGCTGAGGCTTGGAAAGGGATGGGCCAGAGCATGGATGAGAACCAGGATGCCCTCCCCCGCCTGCCCTGGCCTGCACACAGGCCTCCTGGGAACCGGGGCCTCAGCTGTACTCACGCTCAGGCTCTGGCTTCTCCGTGTCACCCACTCGCAATGGCCGGGCTTTGGGCTCCTCTTTGTTTCTCCGGATGGGAGCATTGAGCTCCTCATGATAAACTGGACCACAAGAGAGCAGAGTACACGTCAGACAGACTGCGGGGCTCCTGGGCACCTAGCCCAACGTGGGGGACGGCAGGGCTGCTTGCCAGAGCGCTTACATCGGTTGTGTTGCACGTAATTCACAGCCATGTTCGTGGGCACAAAGGATGTCTCACTATCTTTCTTCTTGTTCTGCTGCTCTGCCAGCAGGCGAGCCTTGGCATCCTCCGTGGAAATGATATTTTTTATTTTTGCACTATGGGGAGAGAGGAATCAGAGCCCATGTTAGACCACAGCCCCTCTGGTATGCAGGTGGAATTCACTGGCGAGGCTGGCAGCCCACCCCTGTGTGGGGAAATGGTCTGTCCTAGGCAGGACTCTCTACAGTTCACCAAGCGCCTTTACAGTCACGTTCTTGTGGACCATTTGTAGTCATGGGAGATCAGGAGCTGTTCCTCTCTTCTGATCAACAGGAAATCAAGCCTGTAGTTCAAAGCCAGCAAGGCCAGGAAAGAGGTGAGAACCCAAGGTCTCCTGTGCACTCTCCCCAGTGAGGGTGTGGGTCATTGTATTTCTTTTGTGATACTCCCCCTCTAAGCAGGTATTTTGTAGTTAAAGTGAAAGGAGGATCATCGGGGAGCCTGGGGGAGCCTTTAACAGCTCCCGCTGGAGAACCCAGCGTAAAAGCCCAAGCTGGGAGCAGGAGGCGAGGAAGCACTTGTGCTCTCAGCAGTCAGGCCCTCAGGTCTCTCTGACCACCCCGACCCAAGCCTCCAGAAAACTCCTGCAACAGCCTTCCAGAGAGAATGGAATTTATGCTTGTGGGTTTCCAAGGAAAAAATGGTCCCCATGACTTTTAACTGGCAAACAGCTCTCCTGAGTGCCCAGGGCAGGGAGAGACAAGAAGGGTCTAACACGCACTCGATGCCCAGGTCCACCTCGGGGATGCCACTCAGCATCTGGTTGGAAAGCATCTCCTCAGTCTTCTTTGCAGAGGAGACACGGATGTTTTCAGGAAGTTCATATAGACAGTCCTCTGCGTTCTTTGGCTTGATTTTCTGTTCCTCGTGTTCCACAATCCCCTTCCTCTTCTTTAGCTCTGACTCAATGTACTTCATCCTGAAAAGAGAAACCCACAGGCATCAGAGAGGGCAAGAGCTCGTGTTGGACATCTTCTAAATTAGGAGTCCCCAACACTGGCCCACAGATCCATGATGGTCCACGAGGAAATACTCTTCAGTTCCCGGAGAACTGAGAAAAAAAATAACTTGTGATTTTTCAAGTTAGAAATTTCAATTTAAACTGGGCACAGTGGTGCACACCTGTAATCCCAGTGGCTTGGGAGGCTAAAGCAGGAGGATTGAGAGTTCAAAGCCAGCCTCAGCAACAGTCAGGTGCTTAACAACTCAGTGAGAGCCTGTCTCTAATAAAACACAAAATAGGACTGGGATGGGGCTCAGTGGCCAAGTGCCCCTGAGTTCAATTCCTGGTACCCCCCCAAAAAAAAGAAAATTTCAACTTAAAGTACCAACCTATATCATGTCTTACCAATCTACTGATGTTAAGCTTCTTTGAAGACAAAAAGCACAATATTCTGTATATGGTTAGGCAAAAAACATGACATGGTATGTATGATATACAAACTAAAATTAATGCCAACTGTTGATCCTGAAAGAAAGAGCAGTGAGGCAGAGACTCCAAGTCACCATTCAGTATGGCCAGCTTGTATGATATAAGAATGAAACAAGGACACAACAGAAAGTACAATATGTAGTTATTTTTGTTTTTTACTACACTGAGGAGTGAATCCAGGGGAATTCTACCATTGAGCTACAGCCTCAGTCCCACCTTAAATTTTTTTTTTTTTAATTTTGAGACAGAATCCCACTAAGTTGCCCAGTCTGGTCTTGAACTGGACATCCTCCAGCCTCAGCCTATTGCTGGGATTAGAGGTGGTATTTGTTTTTAAAAGGATTTAGCAAAAGAATATGGGTAAGTTCATGCTTATTCCTGTAATATTTTGGGGAAATATCACTAGTCAAGGAATCTAAAATCCCAAGAACCACCCTTTAAAGAACTTTTAAAACGTTTTCTACCTTCCTTCTTTTTTATTTCTTTTTTTAAAAAATATATTTAGGGCTGGGGATGTGGCTTAAGCGGTAGCGCGCTTGCTTGGCATGCGTGCGGCCCGGGTTCGATCCTCAGCACCACATACAAACAAAGATGTTGTGTCCACCTATAACTAAAATAAATAAATAAATAAACATATTAAAATTCTCTCTTAAAAAAAATAAAATAAAAATATATTTAGTTGTAGATGGACATAATACCTTTATTTTATTTTTATGCGGTGCTGAGGATGGAACCCAGTACCTTCCACGTGTAAGGCAAGTGCTCTACCATTGAGCTACAACCCCAGCCCCCTTCCTTTCTTTCTTTCTACCAGGATTGAACCCAGAGGCACTTAACCACTGACCCACGTTCCCAGCCCTTTTTGCTTTTTTTTTTTTTTTTGAGATAAGGTGAGGCTGGCCACAAACTTAGGATCCTCCCTCCTCAGTCTCCCAAGTCTCTAGGATTACAGGCGCATGCCACCATGCCCAGCTTTTTAAGAGGTTTTCAAAGTTCTGAAGCCTGAGAGGCAGGGAGAGAGAGGTCAACTTTGGTGTCTTCTAGAGAACTCTAGAAATGTCAAATGTGACTAAGTATCATCTTAGACTTGTCTGACTTCAGCCCAGCTCCAGGTGCTCACAGCCAAACAGACTGGCACCTACATGTCTGCATCTTCATCCCTCCGGTTGGTTTCTGCAGAAAATGATGTCCCCAGATGAAGGTCCTCCTCTTCACTGATCCTGAAAGAGCAGTGAGGCAAAGACTCCAAGTCACCATTCAGTGTGGCCAGCTTGTATGATATAAGAATGAAACAAGGACACAACAGAAAGCACAATATTCTGTTTATGGCTGGGCAAAAAACATGACATGGTATGTATGATATACAAACTAAAATTAATGCCAACTATCTGTTGGCTTCTGGTGATAACTCTGGGAAATTTATTTTTTAAGCTTTGTAATATTTGAGTATATTATTTTTAGAATGGTTTCGTGTTTGAAAGGTAATGAACAAAGCACTTTTACAAAGGGAGTCTACCTACTTGGCTCTGAGCTAAGTTTTAAAGTTTTATTTCTTTTGAGTTGGGGGCAGGGGTTGGTGGGGACCAAACCTAGGGCCTGAGCATGCTAGGCAAGTGCCCTTCTTTTGTTTTTAAATAACATGCCCTTTGAAAAGCACAAAGGATACTTCTAGATGTTTCATGAAAAGTACCACTGCAGACCACCCTCCAACCCATCTCTGAAGGTGCTTGGCCTGAGGCAGAGGGTGGCATGAATCTGCATCTGTCTACCCTCCACTTACTTATCTTTCCCCCTTTCCTTCAGTTTCTTCATGTCCACCATACCACCTGTCTTCATCTGAAAGGGATCATCCTGCAGAGAGCAAGCACAGTTAGAGGGAGCACCACAGCAACAGCATGGCGATCACCATCATCATCATTATTTTTTTTTTCTAAAACACCAGGGATTGAACCCAGGGGTGCTTAATCACAGAGCTACATCCCTAAGCCTTTTTATTTTTTGAATAAAGGTCTTGCTAAGTTGCTTAGAGCCTCACTAAGTTGCTGAGGCTGACCCCAAACTTGTGATCCTCCTGCCTCATCCTCCAAGTGGCTGGGATTACAGGCGTGCATCACCATGTCCAGCAGTCATCACTGATTTTAAGAACAGTCCTCTACAAAAGAGAAGCCACTGAGAGGACCCCATAACTTACCACTAGTGTGGTCTCTTCTTGTACCTTCTCTCCCACCAGCAGGGCAGCAGCACTGTGCAAAACAAAAGAAATCACAATTCAGCAATAAAGAGGAACAGTCAGAAATTTGTAGGATGCAATATAAGTATAAAGGGCAAGATCCGAGGGATAGACAAGAAAGCCAGGTGCAAAGTCCCACAATTAAATTAAAATGAAATGGCTTACTGTGGATGCTGAGGGCGAGGGGGAAGTAGTACACTTTCCTATAAAACCATTCATCATGTCTTGGCCTGAAAATCTCATTTCTAAGATTTTGTCATCAAGGAAAGTGCAGTAAAAAAAGACAAATGCAAGAGAATAGCTGCTTCAGCCATCTTCAATGGTGAAAATTTATAAATGACCTACATAGATTTGTTAATAAATGACAGCGCATAGTTCTGTTGGAATATTATATAGCCATTTTCTGAAAAGTATTCCACAATATGAGTGAATGACCACAATGTTGTAATGAGTTGAAAAAAGCAAGAGAAAAAGTATGTATATCACATTGCTGAAAATCTTCACAAAAGAGAAAGAGGAAACAGACTGGAAAGAACCTTAAATGTTAACCTTAGTTACTTCTGGATCTGCAAATTATGAGTGCAGAGAGCAAGCATAAACATTATTTATCTATCTTTTGGTGCTGGGGATTGAAGCCAAGTGTTTTTAATCTATAAGCAACATCCCCAATTCTTTATATTTTTTGAGATAGAGCCTCCCTAAGCTGCTGAGGGTTTAACCAAGTTGCTGAGACTGACTTTGAGCTTGTGATCCTCCTGTCTCAACCTCCCCAGTCACTGGAAGGTACTCTTTATTTGGACTATATTTTTCCAAATTTCCTAAACTCTTAATAATCAATGTGTATTTCACAAAATTAATCGGGTGAATTAAAGTGCAAGTTCATGACCTGTTTCTGTACCTCTGAGCGTTCCCAGAGACCACTGTTCTCTGGACATGTGGTTAAGCGTCTACAAGCAACATTGGTCCCCTCTCCAAGCAGCAGAAGGTGTACGATGTGTTAATAAGAGCCATTTCTGAAATGTCTGGATGACAACCCAGGCAGTGGCGTGTCTGTCTTTACCACCGGCCAAGCACCCGGCTGTCCCCGTGGTACCCACCTCACCCCATTAGGCCTTTTTCTCAAGTTCTGCACTTCTCGGGTCTCTTCCAGTTTTAGCCTGGGGGAAAAAAAAAAAAAGCAATGCCCAAGCTGAGAGATCCTCCGTGGAACCCAGAGCCAACAGGCTGCTTGGAGGGCACCCTGACTCCAAGCAGAGCCGCCCGCACAGTGGTCAAGAGGGTGACCCTGAGCCTCGGACCCCTGGGAGTCAGATCCAGGCATATCCCGGGGCACCACCCCCATCTGTGCGGCCTGGAGCGACGGACTCATACACAGGAGACTCAATTTCTTTGTCCAGAAGGAACAACAGCCCCAGCTCACAGTTAACTCAGTCTAGGAAGCGCCCGGTCAGCGGTCAGTCTCCCGTGCCAGTTGCTCTTTTCTAGGTCGGTGGAAGCCCCGCCCCAAACGCACCGAACCTCCTCTGAATCCTGCTCATCTTCCTCCGACTCAGAGTCGGCCCGGCGCCGGCGAAACATCTTCCCGGTGACCGGCATGGTGGAACCGGCCCCGGGTCCGGCAGCCGCGCCGCCGCGCCAAGTTCCGGGCCGCTTCCGGCGCGCGGCGTTGCTGTCAGAGCGCCGATCACGCCCCCTGGACGCCCCGCCCCGGGGCCCGCCCCCAACGTGGCGTCGTCCTCTTCCGATTGGGCGGCCGAGGTGGGGGAGGCGGGGCGAGTTCTGCCTGGCCCCACAGCCTGGAGCGGCGCTGCTGAGGGCGCGCTTGACTGACAGGCGGCGGCGGCGCGGTGGCGACGGCAGGTGAGTTCCGGGCCGCCGCCGGCTGCTTCGGGGGCTGGGCCTCTCCGAGCAGGGAAGACCCCCAGTCCCTCTCTGGGCCGTGGGGCCTGGCGCTGCTAGATGCGCGGAACGCCCAGCCAGGTGAGCGGAGCCCGGGATGCCCTGGTCGCCGCCGCCCCTCTCCCCGCCTCTGGCCGGCGCCTGGGGGGCCTCTCGGGCGCCGCGCATCTAGCCCCCGAGGACCCGTGGCTTCCTCCAGACGGGGGCCGCCCTTGTCTCTGGCTTCTGCTGAGGCCTGACCCAGCGCTGAAAGCGTGCGCGTGGCGTCCTGAGGCGCTGACTTTTATTTCCTCCGGCTTTGGGCCCTGACGTGCATTTTTTCCCCTTTAGGGACAAAAGATGACCACTCTCCCACGGTGGTGAATTTCAGTCGCAGCGCCCACTGCCTGGGTAGTAATGGCCTGAGGCCGCCTCTCCCCGAGAGATGCCTCGCCTCGGCTGACAGCCACTCGGAGGGTTGGAGACCAGGGCGCTCTTCCTCGGGCGCTTGCTGGCCTCCTTCCTCCCTGACACAGGCCTTGTCTTCCTCCTGCCAGGAGGACAGTCGCTCTGCCCTCCACACCTTCCACCCCGCAGATGCTGTGAGGATAAAGTTTATGTGAAAACGGGTGTCAGCAAATGCTTAGGAAATAGAAAAATGCACAAAATACAAAAAAATGCTCATGGGACTTTAGGAACCCCTTAGTAATAGTTTTTCTCCTCTCCTCTCTATTCTCCTTTGAAAGAAGACTCGATTGTTAGTGCTTACTGGGGCAGGTACTGGCGAAGCCTTACCTACTTGATTTCTCCCAGCAGTCCTGGGAAGCAGGTTCAGTTGTTTTCCACTTCATGAACGAGGGTGCACAGCCTGAAGGTGGAGCAGGGGTCAGTGCAGGTGTCGATCTGCTCCAGGGGTTGTGCAGTACCTGGCACAGTTGGCTTCTGTGGGTATCTACGGCTGCAGCTGCTGCGGCTCCCATTGGCTGTGGGAGGGGCTGATGGAGCCTCTTTTTTTCTGGAAGATCATTCTAAAGCAGGGCAACATTTCTGGAATTCCTTACTTTTCTCTGGATCAGTCTTTTCTGAGATTGTTGTTCTCTTTCTTGAACTGGGACAAATAAGATTCAGGGCTTCTTGAAACAGCCTTTTGGCTTCAGTCGAAAGCCATACATCAAAAGTCTTAAGTCTTACCCTCTGCATTCTGGTTCATCCAAACCCAGATGTACATGGCACTCACTGGACACCGTGTCCTTGTCAACAGGAGAGGCTCCTTGGGAATTGCTGCAGGAAGCCAGGAACTCAGGGTCTTCAGCTCTCACACTTTTAGAGGTGGCTCTGTTTGCCTGCTTAGTCCCCCTCCCATCTGGGGGTACTGGATACCATTTAGAAGCTGGGGTGTGGCTCAGTAGAAGAGCACTTGCCTAGTATGCATGAGGCCCTGGGTTCCAACCCCAGCACCACAAAAGAGTAATGCCCCAAAGTGGCAGTTGTCAGTCTGACAGTGGGTTGGACTGAGGGACTGCAGTCCCTCTGTCTTGTCAGGCCGGTTTGAGGAATGAGACTGCTTCTCAGAAGGGGCCTCCAGGAAATTTAGATTCTCTTATGTTTTAATTTTATTTGGGAGTTTAGTTGTTCAAAAAGCCTGGGTTTTCATTGGTTCACTAGCTTTTTGTAGCAATAGATGAAATCGTGACATGGTTCAGGGAACATGATGTCTGGATGGATTGGGATCCAGTAGAGTGATACAGTTCATAGCTCAGCCATAGTAGGTATTTAATAAATGCTTCTTGGACCAATTTATTTATTCAGGAGATATTTACTGTGGAGCATGCCTATGAACTCCAGCTACTTGGGAGGCTGAGGCAAAAGAATTACAAATTCAAGGCCAGTTCAGCAACTTAGCTCCTGTTTTTTTTTTTTTTTTTTAAAAAAAGGACAGGGCCATAGCTCAGTGGTAGAGCACCCATGGGTTCAATTCCCAGTTTGAAGGGAAAAAAAAATAAAGAAAAGGGGATATTTACTGAGCATTTACTACGTGAGTCAGACACTGCTTAAAATACATCAGTGAGCAAAAGAGACATAAGATCCCAATTGTAGTGGAATTTTTTATTCTGATAACTTAGTAAATAAAGTATGTAAGTGTGTTAGGTAATAAATACTTTGGAAAAGAGAAAAAAATGGAAAACTGCAAAGAAATCAGCCGTGGAGGGGACCAAGTGGAAGATTTAAATTATTGTAATCTGGTTCATGCTGTAGTTGGCAATGTGCCAGGATGCAGTGAACTGAGCTACAGGCCCCAGGTTCAAGTCCCACTTCAGCCGGCTTGTGAGTCTTGAGGAGCCTTCCCTGCTGGGAGTCTGCTTCCTCCTTGGAGAACCTGCTTTGCCTTATACTAGCTCTGTGACCTCTGGCATGAGCCTCTGACCTTCAGCTGTTTTGTGGCTTTAGGTTTTTTTTTTTAATTTAATTTTTTAGTTGTAGATGGACACAATACCTTTGTTTTTTATTTCTTTATTTTTATGTGGTGCTGAGAATTGAACCCAGTGCCTCACACATGCTAGGCAAGCTCTCTACCATTGAGCCACATCTCCAGCACCAGCTTAAGGCTTATGTTCTAAGCTCAGGTTGTATAATGGCAGTGGAAGAATCAAGCCTTTCTTAGTTTTTCAAGTTGGCAGGATAATACACTAAACCAAACACAGCTGGTTCACATTAGCATGAAAAGAGGGCACTTGGAGAAAATTTGAAAGTTGACAACAGATGCTTAAAGACAGAATTGTGACAGTTCTCTTTGCTGTGAACAGAAATGAATTTGTATGTAGAAATTTCAGGGAAGCCAATTTTCATTTATTGTTAGGACTGAAACAACCAGAGTCACCTTCTGGGAAAAGGGTGATTTTATTGTCAATGACTGGGCTCCAAGCGAGTTTGGACAGCCAGCCAACAGGGATTTTATGGAATACAGTCCCATCCTAAGAGGAAGATGCAGGCCAAGCTTGGTGGCTCATGCCTGTCATTCAAGCTACTCTGGAGGCTGAGGCAGGAGGATCACAAATTCAAAGCCAATCTGGGCAATTTAGTGAGACCCTATCTCAATTTTTTAAAAAAATATAAATAAAATAAAAAAAGAGTTGAGGATGTAGCTTAGAGGTGGAGTGCCCCTTGGCCAATCTCCAGTGGGGGGTGGGGGCGGGAGAGATATAGCCGGGCAGCACACCCGGCGGTAGAACGCCTGCCTTGCCTATGTTAGGCCCAAAGGATGATGAATGCTTCCTCAATCCCTTTAAATCTCGAGATGGCTTGGCAGAAGCAGGGTGCAGATCTCACCACCTGAATAAAGAGAATCTCATTTCAAATCCCAGAAGTCAAGATCTTCCTGGCTCTTCGTTTCCATTGCCCCTAATTGGGAGTGTAGCTTAGTTACCTCTAGGGTTTGTAGGTCTGAATTTCTGAGTTTCTGCTCACACTAGTGCACCTACCCCAGTGCTCGAGGCTTCCTGTGAGCTGGGCCTGTAGTTTCCCCTAGCCAGACAACCCCCAGGGACTACCAGCCTGGCATAGCCCCAAACCTGTGTCAATTAGTGACTCTCCTGGAACCCATGTCGGG